TCTGTATGAAGGTTTTTCCACGCCATTATTCCTATGACTTTAAAGCCCAGACTCACCACTTGTTTGAATATAATTGGATTTTACACTTCCAAAAAAATAAGACTTCTTCAATTTCTAAATAGTAGGCCTCAAAGTTGAAGAAAACTCACATGACTCACTGGTCCAAACGTCTATTCAGTTCAATGTGTCAGCTGACAATCTTATGTTCCGAACATCATACAAATTGTTTTCTTCAGAATCAAAATGTCATAAAATGTGATATAAAATATAAAATGAATTGTGATTTTGGTGAATAAGCCCTACTTCGCAATAATATGTTCTTTAAATGAGCACCAACAATTATATCTTAAAGTCACAAGCACCAAATACAGAATGTTTTTTTTTCTTTCCTGAATAAAGTATTTTTCATGTTAAATGCCCAGCTCATTTTACATTGTTGTGAACAAATACAACACAAGGTTGTTTTGGACCTAATGGTTGTTCACTATTCATTTAAATGCTTGTTAATTTTTCTTTTTCTTTTTTATCTATACTCTTGATTTGGAACTGAATTGTACATACAAAGTTAAATACTCTTTCAAGTACAAATATGGCATTTGAAATATTGTCTTTACAAAATCACATGTAATTTGATGTGATAGTACACTAATGAAAATCAGTAATTGCTGCAGCTCTAATAAGTACATGATATGCTCAGCCAGTGCTGTAAATCTACTGTATGCTTTCTGCTGGGGGAGCAACAATGACTGAGCTTATTAGATTCTAGAGAATCCAATACAGAAGCAGAAGTCTATATAAAATCAATCTTGAGCCACAGTGACCATAAAGAGACTTCTCACAGACACATTACTATCTGCATCTATTCTGCAGACAACCATACACTCCACGACACTTCATTAAAATCATCAACACACCATTATATATGGGAGGCCTTTACCCCAGAGGAGCCATTTGTATATCCACATTTGGCCATATATCTGCTCACCTTGACATAATAAAAAAAACTAAATCAGAATCTGCCACCATCATTGCAATTCCTCATACAGGCATGACGCATTGCATTCTTTACATTCAGAATTATAACAAGGTTAGAATGTGTACACTCCATCACACAAGTTAAGTAACAGTTGCTTAGCATTCTACAGCAGACTCTGCACTGAAAGGCATCTGCATCCGTATGGGGACGTTGATAAAGGCAACTCTCGCCCAGTCTCTGCATCCGTATAGGGACGTTGATAAAGGCAGCTCTCCCCCAGTCTCCGGCTTAAGGCCTCCCTGGTGGATTATGTTGCCCAACAATGGCACTGGCCTTTCACAGTTGGAGCATGCTCCAGTTGCTGGAAGGCATACAAACACGTCCTCATTTCCTTCTCCCTACTTCTCCCACCAGAATTAATAGTGTCCCCTGACAAAAAGCATCTCTCGAATACATTTTTATACTACCAAAGCAAGTCCTATTTTTTAAGTCCTATTTTTTGCAATAAAGAAAGAAGAAAATAAACCGTTTTCGTTTGTTTGCTTTTTTCTTAAAGCATAGTATGCTCATGACTGATGTCCCAATTGTTTTGAGCTTATTAGATTCCAGAGAATCTAATAAGGGAATCCTTATTTTTATGATTCTTGTAAAACGTAAAAAAAAATAGTCTTATTCTTTATATTCTTTATGCTTAAGCTGACAAAAATTGGAGACAGACAAAAGCCTTGAAAGAACAATGGAGTAGTAACCTTGTGTGCAAATATACAAACTACAAACAGAGAGGAAGAAAGACCAGGGCAGTATTATGCGTTTTCCAGACACATTCACATTTTACAGCAGAATCAAACAAGTTTTTTTTACTTCAGCCATTATAAAACTGCTACATTCATATATCAAATATGACCTAAACGATATTTTATGGACTAATTTAACACCTTGAAATTTGTCATCTGTCTCTTTAAAAAGCTTGCCGTTTCTGAAATTCTGCCTACAGGAAGTCATCACAACAGCACTCATCAATTAACCCTTTAACATTTTTACCAATATAGCACTGAGAAGTAAAGTTAGGAAACTATATTAAATTGCTAGTAGTTCTTTTACTACAACTCAAATGGCACAAAAGTGCTCAAGACACTATACATGCTAAAATTACAGAATTTGTATGGGAGTGCTTCGAGAGGACCCTTAAAAGTGTAAGTATGTGAGATTGAAGTCTTGAAAATGGAACATCGCCTGTTCTCCAACGCAGAGGGACAACAGGGGGAGCGAGACATAGTTGGACTTGACAGGGCCCGGTTCTCCAACAGTGCGGCGTAATTAAAATTTGGCGAAGGAAAAAAAAAAAAACACACATGCAGGATTTACAGCACGTCGGAGAACACAATAACGCCTGACTCATCATTGCTGTCATCCACAAGCGTCATTACAACACGGCCGAGACTTTTGGCCTTCTTTAATAAAACCTGCAGGGGGGCACAAGTTATGAGTAACAGGTCTGTCATCATTACGCTTTGCAGAATCTTCTTGTGTGATAACCCCTGGGGTGTTAGAAAGCAATCATTGTGCCAATGCTCCTCAACCCTCTGGTCCTTGAAAACGCAATGGCCATTTGTTACATTTATATCTAGATATACAATTTCATTTTAATTTCAGCGTTCTGATGCTTCAAAGTCAATCTCAAGTAGTACAACAACAAAGCCATTCTGTAATGACGCATTTCATCTGGACAGCATTATCTGCATAATCAAGCGAGACGTGCTGGGGTATGTAAGAAGTGTGAAAAAGATGTTGAATTATTAAACAGTTCTTATCTCACTTGAAAGCATTCCCAATATTCCACTGGCATCACCTACAAAGGATTAACTACGTATCTTGTAGCAGAGAAGATGACTTAGTGCAGGTCAGAAAATACATATATGCATGCAATGGTATAATGTGATTAAATTTGGGGCGCTAATGATTTATTTAAACTTTTTCCAGGGTGGCATGTTAGCAAAATATATATAAACACATATATATAATAAAAAGATAACCTCCTGACACCCTACCCCCTAGGGACAAGGGTGTGATGGATGGATGGATGGATGGATGGATGGATGGATGGATGGATGGATGGATGGATGGATGGATGGATGGATGGATGGATGGATGGATGGATGGATGGATGGATGGATGGATGGATGGATGGATGGATGGATGGATGGATGGATGGATGACCTCTGCACTATTAAAAGTGCAGAGGTTAATTACTCTGCACTTTTATCCATCCATAAAAGTGCAGAGGTCAATCACACATAGGTGAGTTATTGTTATTTAATGCATTTTAATTTTTGTTGTTGCTGAAATGTGCGATACTAATAAACAAATAAATAAACAAATGAACCTGATGATATTATATGTAACTCAGGAGCAGAAAAAAATTCTTGGCTCACTGACCAAAAAAAAAACAACAAAAAACAAAAAGGTACCAGTCATAACATATTTGCAAAGAGATAGATTGATTTAATTTATTAGCAAAACTGAAGAGAAAAATATACACTGTGATGCATGAGCTCCTAGAGTTCAGCACAGAAACTAACATTACTTGACAGGCAAAAAACACAAGACTTCTGTTTCACAGTACAATGAAACCCCTACAGTCAAGGAAGAAGCAGACAGTCTCTGCTGTGTGAGGGAGACTGCTATGGCCTTGTGAATAATAAGGAAAGCGTGCATGTTTGGTCTTTTCACAAGTTTCACAGGCAGCAGTGGAAGATCAACAGATTGTTGGATTGGACTGCTGCATACTTTAGATAAGAGAGGAGAAAAATGTCCACCTTAAGCCTTTTGGTAGAAAAGTAAAACTAATGATAACACAAGGAGAGAATTAAAAAAAAGTTATTCAGTTCAACTGCAGCATTAAGTGTTTTCCCTGTTATTCAGGCCTTGCATTTTAATTAGTTGATTAATTATGGCTTCAGTATTTTATTCCTGATCTTAGGATTTCAGTCTACCTCTCCAGAAATAAGAGGTTTCATTGCATTCGCCTCAGCTCAAACACTATTGCCTAATTACTGGGCATATCCTTAGAATAATTTTCATTTTCAACCTGCAAACAACTATCACCCAAGACAAACCAGTCAACCGTTTAGATCAGACAAGTGATCCATTCGAATTGCAGCTGGATTCAGTCTGGAGAGTAATTTGGAGATGCAACATTGTTCTTTTATACTGACTGAATTGCACTGGCAATGCCACTCCAGGCAGTGTTTTAATGACTGTAATCACACAGTCAGTGTGGAGAAGTGCGAGTAGGAAAGACTCAGAGAAACTGAACTATCTTTGAAGACAGTTGGGTACCAAACAGACTGAACAAGTTTGACATGGATCCATGAATGATCCATGTAGTCCCTTTTACTAAGGATGAGGGTTTAAAGGCTTGAGAGTGTTCCTCAAAAATGAACATATGCTGTGGAATGACTGGAGGCTTTGGTCAATTTAACATCCCACAGTCCTTAATGTGCGGTGAGATGATCCTGAATAAAGCTGCGACCTCATCCCACAAGTGATAACAGCGTTAATGGATGGTAAAGAGAAAAGGTAGAAGTACGATCGCTGCATTAAAAAAAACAGAAATTCTGCAGCTTGTCCTCATATTTAAATGCCAAATACGCAATAGCAGACGCAGGTCTGCCGTCAAAGCGCACGGATGGGGATGATTGGATATTCCACAACTGCCTTGTTATCACTGATTGAGAAAGTAGGGACAGCTGTCAACGCGCCAATTAAAATAAAGCAGTCTACCAAGTTTGTCGGGCACGTTAACCTTATTTCTAAAATTTACCAGAATCAAGACAAAGTTGTACATCTCCGTGCACAAAAATCAGGCAACACGACAGGACATTGCGGTCTGAGTCCCACCAGTCCAAAAGTGCATATGTCATAAAGTACATGATCACTTCACTTGATGACAAAAATATTCTCTCTGCAGAATGAATGAAGCGTGTTGGCGGGAGGGCGCAACATGCAAACATTTGCTGCCTACCTTGTCTGAGCGGAGTCCGACCGGGAGCCCCTGAAAGAGTAATCCTGTGATTTCCGCTCGAATCTCCTTGTTTCCTTGAAAATGATCTGAAGTCAGGACTGATTACGGCACGTCACTTGCACGGCAAGGTCCCGCAGAGCGTAGTATCTTCCTGAACCGCTCTGTCTGTGGGCTGCAGAGGCATCACTGAACGTATGAACCAGCGCTGCACACGAAGGGAGAGAAGGAAAAGCCGGAGTAGAGTCTGTTCAGTGTGGATTCTCCTGCCTCCAGTGCGCACTGTGCCACTGGAGGCAGTGGCACAGTGCTCACTATTTAAAATGATTTAAATAGTGAAATATCACTCAAAATGTTCATTCTGGAGTACTAAAGAGTTCTAGATTTTTATGCATCTTTGAGCTCCAGCGCTACACCTGAAAAGCCTATTTATAGCAAAAGAACAGTGTGATATGTTGATTGGTTTTATGTTTTTGTATCCACAATCAACTGAACTAATGACAATAACAAAGACTAGCTATATACAGTACAGACCAAAAGTTTGGACACAGCCTTCTCATTCAATGGGTTTCCTTTATTTCATGACTATTTATAAGGCAAGAAAGCCCACTTATTAACCTGACAGGACACACCTGTGAAGTGAAAACCATTTCAGGTGACTACCTCTTGAAGCTCATCAAGAGAATGCAGTGTGTGCAAAGCAGTAATCACAGCAAAAGGTTGCAACTTTGAAGAAACTACAATATAAGGCGTATTTTAAGGTGTTTTACACTTTTTTGTTTAGTACATATTTCCACGTGTGTTAATTCATAGTTTGATGCCTTCAGTGTGAATCTACAATGTCAATAGTCATGAAAATAAAGGAAACTCATTGGTCTGTGCTGTTTATAAAATTGTTTTGCTTTATTCTTTGATTTGTTTAGAGCAGAGATATAGAGAGGATCCAAAGAAGCTCTGTTTTAGTTCAAAATTCCTATCTGTGAGGTGCATTAAATGCTTGTTTGATTCTCTGAACTCCAGGGTCAACAACTCAATTTGCTGTATGCATTTGTGTCCTTTCAATGCTGAGATAGTCTGGGGATCTTGTAAATCCTGCAAGAATAAAACTCAATTCGAGTAAATAAATCAATATTTTTATTGTTTACAATAATCTGTAATGTTACAGTTTTTTTTTTTTAAGATTACTTACACAGTAATCTTAAAGGTCAACAAGGTTTTAATCGCTTTATAAAACCAACAGAGGAGGACTAAATGATGCAAAAATCTGCACTGGCAGTTCCATGATAAATAAGCAAATCCATCCTGGAGAAGATTATTATGATATAAGCTCAAAATCTTTTTATCACAGATATTGTGACTAGATTGTTTTGGTCATTCTCGTGTTTTAAAAGTGGATTTATCTATCAATACATATAGAATTTTTGACTATTTAATCAACGTCATTAAATGCCCAGTAGTTTCAGTAGAAGTTTTACTCTCAAGATGTTTTATTTGTATACTGTGCATTTCTTCCATAAAACCCCCTTTTTGTTGTGCAAAAACGGCACACCGCACCATCTTATCCCAGCTCTCTGTGTAGCTGATGCTGTGGAATGACTGGAAGCTATCCTGCTGGGAAAGATGAAAACCAACAAAGCAAACCAAGCCATTGCTATTTTGCCTCCCAGGCAGCCTGGATCTAACAACAAGGTTGCATATTTTGATACCATAACCCTGGCAACAGCAGCTGTACCAAAATCCTCAACTTGCTGGAGGCTACATGGGTCTGATAGTGTGGCCTTTGAATGATCAGAAATCAATGGCAGTATGCATGTTGAATACAAGCAATGACAGGGGCTTGGGCATGACACTGCATAAGAAAATATTTGCACTCGGTCATTATTGGATCTCTTCGCCATAGCTCGAAGCATTTTCATCAACTAGCTTTCAACAATTTATTGGTGGCAGTCGGTCAATAATGGTGTTCCCTGGAAGTGTCAGAGGAATCAATATTTCCCCCGTGATACAGCTAACATTTCAGACAGAGAGAAAAAGCAACTGGAGTGATAATGAGAGGCAGTACTTGCTTTGTATGCAGATTACATTGATTACTAGTGTTGCCAGTGGAGCGTTATGAATTAACTGAGCTGAAAGAAATTTGTATAATTCACAGCTGATATCATACTGTGTTAATATCAGCCATCAAGTTTGATGTCATTTCACTCCCTTTGAGGTTAATTGTTAGTGTGATGATTTAATCCTGCTTTATCCCAGTGTGAGAAGTCATTTTATTTTTAGAAACAAAACTCTTACCCAAAGATGACTGCAGTAAATAACTACGGCTTTACCGAGAGGACAGTACATAATTTTTGTTTTGTCTTCAATTCTGTCTGCATCCAGCAGACTTTGATTTAACCACTATAGAACCTCCACTCTGGTTCTATTGTGACTTTGTGGGTGTTTTGCAAGTGCACTTCTGGAATAATTGTGGTAGGCTGGTCTGTCTGAGAAATGTCCATCCCTGTTTCATGTTTGCGAATAACTGTGGTTCACTGGAATCCCAAAGACTTTAAACAATTTCTAACCCTTTCCAAACATCAGTGACTGTAGTTCAGGATTAGATCCCACCACTCTCTTTTCCTAATCATGACTCTAATGAGCTTGATGATGCTCATTAGATAACTTCCACCTGGTGTCTTGGTGAGTGAATAAGTGATTAGCTGTAACCTACACCTAATGGGTGTAGATTACGTAGGTCACATAGGCCTGCTTTTATATGACACACGGGGAGTCACAGTGGGAATCTCCTTAGCATCTAAATCCAGTGCAGGTTTTTCCTCGGCCTTAGGCTCAGCATGCAACAGCTATTTATCAATAATTCAAAGCAGAAAAAGGTTTGAAAATGTCTGAAAAATGAAAGAAAATGCAAGGTTCCTTTAAATCATTGTTAAGGAATAAAAGCTTAACAGTTAAATCAGATTTAGACAGTCTGTTTGAAACTGATCAGGCCCTAAGCAAAGAAATCTCAGAATCTCTCAGTTTACTACAAATAAAGCCATAATTATCTTTCTCAGCAGTTTAGATGAGTTTAATTATTCGGCCTATAGTAATTGCTATGCCTGAATGATTAAATCAATAGTGGTGGTAGACAAAGCTCAGGTTATATTGTTGTGAATTATTAATAACTTCACAGTAAGAAATTCTCTTGATGCTGCTAATGCAAATATAGCCTTGCAACAATGCAAATGTTAATGAAACCTGGATATCAAAACAAATGACCAGTACACAAAAAGTCTGTTATATTTTCTTTCTATATGGTTCATTGCATGAAAAGCACAATATTTTGTTATTTGCAAAGTATTCATACCCTCTGCACTTTTTGTCATTTTGTCACATTATAATCATATAATTCAATACACTTCATTGCATTTTTTTAATTAGACAACTGTTAGTAAAGCTAAAGGAAAATATTTTATGAATAAAAGTCTGGTGTATAGCAGGACTCTATTAAATAGGTGACTTATAAAGGCAGACACATGTATTAAATTTTATTTAGGGGCATCAGTTTGAGGACTAGATAGGTATGCCACACAATTTTAGATCTTAGCTGCAAAATAAAAGTAAAAACCCTACATTATTTTCCCTCTGCTTCACCTTTACGGTAATTTGTGTTATTCCTTTTCCCAAAGTAAAAATCTTATTCTGAGAGACTCTGTATTTGGAATATAGTTTTTATATTACCAGTAATAATTTTCTCATAACAACACCACCAGTACAAACAGTTATACAACCTTGACTGTAGCACCTTCTGCAGTTTTCTCAATCTCACTTTTCCTTTTGTCTCTACACCTATTTGAGGAACAATTTTAAAGACTTGAGAGATTAGCAGATCTGAGCCCTGAGGCATGGTTAGATACAAGAAAAAAAGAAAACACATACTCACATCCACACACCCACAGAATAGAAGGCTGTAAGCACATTCCCGCCAGTGCTTTCAATCGAAGCTGGTGAAAAGGCCCAGGGGGACATCTGAAAACCTTTGATTTTTTTCTTGAATACTCAATTGCTTCCCAACATGATTTAATCTAGGCCTCTTTGTCTTGAAACATGATTAATTGAAGTCCACATAAGGCTAGGTGTATGGGGGTGTACACGTGAGTGTGTAAATTCAAGCCTGCAATTTTATTGTTGCATATTTTTCAGTTCCCAGCAAATTATTACCTAATTCTAGAGATTCCAGGGTACCCAGAAGTTTTTGTGCATAGATGAGAGTTTTTGAACACAAGGATAAGAGCTGGAAATGTACTCTATGTTGTTCAGTCCGTATGCTAAGGCTTCTTCTGCAGTCATACAAACACTCGTAAAGTACTAAGAAAAGAACTGGCATTGAAGCTGAATTATTCAGATGAAGGGGGTGGAATACACAATGAATTGTGAGATTTCAAAACAAGCCCTGGAAATGTTGGCAATCCATCACTATCACAATTAACTATGTGTCTGTAGGTGGGATATGGAGATTTGGAGATCATTTGATTGCACTTTAACAGAACTAAATAACACTTAAAACAGAATTGAATTCATTCATTGACACCCAAAATGTGTCAGGTTCATTTATTAACAGCGACTTGATTTGTGATTTTGAGTCGGAAGGTTACCGAAAAATACACAAAAATACACATGATGGACATAATCATGATAACACCTATGATGCTAAAACATCTCCACTAACTCTTCCCGTTATTGAATAGAACAGGTAGTACTTAGAATTTTCTATTTCTCTCATTCATGCAGCTGCCAGCCTTCATCGTATCATCACATCAGGGGAACCTTTCTGTTCTCTCTAAGGGACACAAGTTTTTCCTCTTCCCTACACTTTACAAAAGAAATTCATTGGGAGCTATTAAATATTGAAGACAGTATAAGGGTGTGTTACAGAGGGCTTTTGACATTGCATATGATGACAGAGTAAGAGGAAAGGATTAATAAGTCAGGCACTGATATATGTTTTCTTTTAAAAGAAGAAATATCATTCACAGAGAGTGTATAAATAAGGGCTTTTTATTCAACCATCAAATTAAGGACCAATGTGATAAAAATCAAAGAAAGAATATTTGTTTTTATGTTTTCATAGAGCTTGGTTTGAAAAACATTAGGACTCAGAAAAATTATAATTTTTCTTACCTT